CCAGCACACTCTCCTCTCTTACATTTTCTTTAAAAATTTGTATATGTCTTTATGCATTTTTAGAAAAATGGACTTACAAATTAAATTTGTATGTCTTTAAACATTTTCGACAACGCAATATATTTTTCTGATCAGCAACATTTCAGTGCTTAGAGCTTCTATGTTCCGTTGAGCAACAAAAACTTGTGATATCCCCCAAAAAACACTTACGTGTAAAAAACTACGCTAAGTACAGAAATGCTGTGTATTCCTCTAATAAAAAGTATTGATATCAGATTATTGAGGCCAAGTACATAAGTCATTACATGTTTGCCTATTATATGATCTAGCACTGGTCCATCATTTTAATTGTATTTTCAAATTTCTTATAACGTTTTCCCTACTCTTTTACATTACTACTGCTTCCCGTAGTTGATTATGATTTAATGGTCATTTAATAATTAATATAACTTTAGGTGATTCCTTATCGACTACTACTTGGCGGGTCCGTGCCAGGAATTCCAAAGTACTTACTTTGAACGTACTAATAGTATCCTAAAACTATATGTTTGTTATTAAGCTTTTACCGTGATTATTTTTGACGAGTTATTGTTAACAAGCTGTATATAGTAAGTTGACATTGGTTTTGAGTTTGATGACTGGCGTAATGAACGCAAATTTATGTTATGAAATGCACGGACCCGCCAAGTAGTACTCGGTAAGGAATCAGCTAACGTTTGATTAATTATTAAATAACCATTAAATCATAATCAACTACGGGAAGCAGTAGTAATGTAAAAGAGTAGGGAAAACGTTATAAGAAATTTGAAAATACAATTAAAATGATGGACCAGTGCTAGATCATATAATAGGCAAACATGTAATGACTTATGTACTTGGCCTCAATAATCTGATATCAATACTTTTTATTAGAGGAATACACAGCACTTCTGTACTTGGCGTAGTTTTTTACACGTAAGTGTTTTTGGGGGATCGCATATTACCTAAAGTGCGCCTTCGACGAGTCTTTATCCAAATTGAAAATTAATCGTGGAAATAATTGTATCGCGTAGTTCATGGATGAACTGCAGGAATTAGCACGATCTTTAGAAATTTATCATAAACGTATTGTACCCATGGAACCACTGAGTTTCGAACAGACGCAACAATTTTATTCTGTAAAGATCTTTCACATTTGTGAGAAACCATTCACATTGCGAGATGTCAAGCATCATGATCATTGTCACTTTACAGGCAAGTATCGCGGTGCTGCTCATCCCGGTTGCAATTTGAATTATAAAAACTCACATACTATTCCCATAGTTTTTCACAATCCGTCTGATTACGATTCGCACTTTCTGATGAAGGCTTTAGCTACTTCCTTCGAAGATTCCGTAAGTCGTTCACCGGTGATCAAAGAAAGATATATGTCGTTTACAAAGAACATTAAAGATACGATTATAAATTTTCGATTCATCGATTCATTCAGATTTATGGCAAGCAGCATTGAAAAATTATCCTCCTATCTTAATGATTCCGAGAAAATAATTACACGTAGACATTGTGACTATGCGGAGAAATTTAAACTGTTAACGAGGAAAGGTATTTTTCTATACGACTATGAGTGCGTTCCACTTAACGCTCGCAAGGATCGCAATACCTTCTGTCTCGTCCCACTCAAGGCCGCGGTCGCTGTGAGCAGTCCCTGAAACGTCATCGATGACGTCATCATTAACGACCACGATGCGATAGCTTCGCCCACATCAAACAGGTGGGTTTTGTGGTCTTCTGATCACATGATCTCCGGTTTTGTGCGCCATTTTAGTTCAAATTTATGATGAAGACTGAAAAAATAACGCTGTACGATTCCGAGAGGGATATATTAGTCGAATTAAATGTTACTGTACGAGATGCTGTACGTGCAAGAAATGGTACGTGATATTATTGTATACATTATACAAAAGATGCTTACTTTTAAACCTTATTTTGGTTAGAAAACTTCTTCTATTCTAACGTAAGATCATATGTTTTTAGATGTTAACTTTGCAATAACTTTGATGGACGCAGTTCTGTAAAAGAAAGATTCCCTCACAGATCAATCAGCTCCTGCTGTCACGGAATCAAGCAAAGCAGCAGCTCCAGTGGAAGAAGAAATTGTCCATAACACTGACCCTGAAGAAGGAGGTACAAAATTTGTAGAAACTGAGCTTTTAAGTTTTGATACTTATTTTTTCAGTTAACACTCAAAGCAATTGATCCTAATGCTCTTAATGCTTATTTCAGGGTCTGTGTATCGGTGGACATCATCGGCTGTCTTTCTTCTCTTGGAAAGTTACCGGACCAGAGAAGAAAAATTCACAAACGGAAAGTCTTCCTAAAAAAAATATGGGAAGAGGTGGCGGAGGTCCTTCAAATTGAGGGGCACAATGTGTCAGGACCGCAGTGTGCAGCGAAAATGCGTAGCTTCAAAAAACATATCAATCTGTTATAGACCACAATTCGAAGTCTGGAATGATAGGCGGACGTGGCATTTTCATGAGGTATGGACCAATAAGATAGAAAACATAGAGTGAGTGTGATTCCTAAACATTTTTTTCAAACACTCTCTGCAGGTTATGGATTCCATCTTCGCTAAAAAGGCATGGTGTTCACCTGTGGCGCTTGCCTCTTCGTCAGGTCTATGTGTTCAACCGGGTAGTGCGGAAGATGTAACATCAGACAGTGGAATTGCATTGAGTATGTTTATTTAAGAACTGTCTTCCCATGGTGGTATTTGTAAAATTGTTATTACAATTATTATTTATTATTATTATTATTCAGAAATTTATCATTTTATATACAATACATGCTTTTTTTATAGCGCCATCAACCAGACCATTGAAAGCAAATATTGCTGCTATGCTTGAGAAAAGAATCCGACAAAAAGAAGAGCATGAAAAAGCAAGGGCAAAACGGCACAGAGAAAAAATGGAAATGGATAAGAAACTATTGGTAGTTTTAGAAAAATTAGCCAGTAATAAGTAGATAAATAATAACCCAAAGACTTAACTAGATAGATATATTTCGTTCATTTAATCGTTAATCACTGTTTTGTTTTCAAATGTTTAGTTTATTAATGTAATTACTAGTAATTATAATCATTTCACAATAAATGAGTATTGAAATGCCAATATTATCATTTTCAGTTTATTTCGTTCCACTTATAATGACCTATTTAACGTGTAAACTTCAAACTACTACATTACAAATAATTAAATTGCTAAGCATTTGCAAGAGTTTCCATAATCATATTCCGTTTCAAAATAGCAGTAGTAGGAGCTCCATCTCGCTGTATCCCAGGATTGGTCAGTTGCGTATCACATTCTGCTTTTACCACAGTGATTACTTGAAGTTCATCCTCTCTCAAAATACAAATGTTGTGGATGACACAACATGCAATAATATATTTTACCATTAAGTCTACTCTCCTCATTGGCAAGCAGTGCAGTAGACTCCGCATTTAGCTCTTTAAAACCCCTATGCATCTTTCTACTACAATTCTTGCTGACGAGTGTCTAAATTTGTAATTCATCTGTCGTGCGGTTAAATGGCCATTATCTTTAAATGGCAGTAAAAGATGACGATGAAGCTCATAAGCAGCATCTCCAACTAAATTTTTCTCAAATGGAAATTTTTTCATCGCATTTCAAGTATTCTGAAATGTCGGACCGTCGCGAGCGATAAGTGGAACGCACGCTATGTTGACTGTTGGGAAAAACTCGAAGAGACGTAATTACTATCGAAAGAAAATTTTTTTTCGAAATTGAATAACGAGGAAATTTCTGGGAATGATTATGTGCTTGCGTCCAATGTTTGGCGTACGTTTAATATTAAAACCTTGGGTGAATATTCTGATTTGTATCTAAAAACTGACATTTTACTTTTGGCTGATATTTTCGAAAATTTTAGACGCAAATGCTTCTCTACGTATAAGTTAGATCCTTCGCATTATTACACGGTATCCGGACTTACTTTCGATGCTATGCTCAAGTGTACGGGCGTTGAAATGGAACTCCTCGATGATGTAGAAATGTTATTGTTTGTCGAGAGAGGTATTCGTGGCGGTATAGCCCAATGTTCTAACAGATACGCCAAGGCTAACGATAGATATATGGGCGCGGATTTCGATCCAACCGAAGAAGAATCATACCTCATGTACTATGATGTCAATAACTTGTACGGTGCAGCTATGAGTCACTTCCTGCCGTTCTACTCGTTCGAATGGGAGCAAAATATCGAACAACTGGATATTTGTGACGGACTTTGTAGGTGGAAGGTGAGGATGAGGACGTTTCACGGGCGATCGAATAAGTTGAACACACCTTTTTATTTAAGTGACTGAATAACTTTTAATGCGTAACACTGCGCAACTCCGCTACACCTCATGAATTACAAAAGTGAAATCTGAATTCCCTGATCAAACACCTCTCCGTATTCAATTGAAAAACAAAAACGCCAAGACAAAGGCAAGTAGGAAAACGAACCGTTCTCGAGAGTAGCGTGTTAGCTAAAACAAAAAGACGCCGGTAAGGTGGCACGAAACAAGAGAGGAAGAGAGAGATAGATCTCTCTGCTATGTGGCGTAGATGGTTGCTTCTGTTTTAGTGGCGCCCTCGCCACGAGACGCGGAGCTTGCTGTGACTACAGCCGACAATTTGTAAGATTTCCAATAATTCCACTATACGGTATATACTTGAAGTAGATGTGGAGTACCCCGCGGAGCTTCACGAAGTTTACAAAGACTTACCACTATGCCCCGAGCATTTTGTACCTCCTCTCTCACGATATAATGTGAGAAAGTTAATGACTACACTTTTCCCGAAAAAAAGATACATAATTCATTATGGAAATTTAAAACAGTGCTTAAGTTTAGGCATGAAATTAACAAAAATTCATAGAGTTTTAAAGTTTATTCAAGCTCCATGGTTAAAAAAATATATAGGTTTAAGTACGGAGATGAGGAAAAAATCTAGAAATGATTTGGAGAAAAACTTTTACAAACTGATGAATAATTCGATTTTTGGTAAAACAATGGAGAACGTTAGGAAGCAAAAAGACGTTAGACTCGTTACTAAGTGTGATGGGAGGTATGGAGCAAAACCTCTCATAACAAAACCGAATTCTCATAGCTGCGTCTTTGACGAGGATATGGTTATAATCGAATTGAATCGTACCAGAATTAAATTCAATAAACCTATATACGTAGGATTTCAATTCTGGGCATCTCTAAAACATATATTTATGATTTTCACAATAACTACATCAAGAAAACTTTTGGCGAGCAAGCAAAATTAATGTACATCAACAAGGATAGCTTGCTATTCCACTTTAATGTTCCTAATGTATACGAATTAATTAACACAGATTCGACAGTTCAGACTATCCTTCGGATAATGTATACGGTATACCATTAGTCAATAAGAAAGTTCTAGGTTTGATGAAGGATGAAAATAATGGTAAAATCATGATGGGGTTTGTAAGACTACGGGCGAAATTGTATAGTTTTCGAATTTTAGGCGAAACTAGGGATAAGAAACGTGCGAAAGAAATCAAAAGATTTACGTTAAAGACCATAACCTTCGATGATTATCTGCAGTGTCTCGAGCGTCGAAAAAATTTGATTAAACCTCAAAATTTGATTCAAAGCAAAAAGCATGAGGTTTATACTGTTGAGCAAAAGAAAATAGCATTAAGTTGGAATGATTATAAGAGAGTGATTGTTTCTCATACAACGGATACCCTCCTATGGGGTTATAAAATATGTTGAAATATGTAAGCGTGTGCTGGAAAAAAAGAATGAATTTTTCGTCATGACCTCAACGCGTACCGATGACCTGGGTGGCATCTTCCTGATTTTTATTGTCCTTAGTGCAACGTGTCCCCTGACCAGGATGGAGGGATTAACGGAAGTTGTAGACCGGGAAAAACCCTCAGTAAATCATCGGACAACAGAAAGGGAAAAATATAGAACAAGAGGAAGTGTACATGTCGAAAGAAAGTATATAAGTGTGTGTATATGGAGGTACGTGGAGATATAACCCTACAAATAAAATAATATTAGAGCCGTGACTGTTCTCTAGCACTCTTAAAGCTATGATGTTTATATGTATTGTGACGTTAATTTTTAACGCCACAAAAGTCCCGATGTAGTACTCGCGTGCTCTTGATCACGGGACGCAGTACCGTCCCTCGGGAGAGATAATATCCGACTGTACCGGCCAAGAACTCCAGGGTGCCGATTAATAAATATAATAAGATTAGACTAATTGCTTTGGTATACCATAACTTTCATGCGATACGTCGAGTCAACTTAACACCGAGGAAGCAACCATCAGAGAGAAGTCATCCTCTCTAGTATCGTCGGAGGAAAGCAGCCGAAGGTTACGCCAGGGAGCGTGGAAGAACGCCAACGTCAGCAGGCGCCTCCACCCCGTCGCGCCCGGTCCCGAATAAAGTAGGGAGCCAAGGTGCAAAGAACATCGCCATGGACTACATCACGTCTCGTCAGTCCCGATACCGGTGAATTCACGGTCGCGGATAGCGGAAATCCACGTTTCTTTTCGAACGACGAATTGTATCGCGAGAGCACATCGTTGCCTCGAGACCTGTAGGTCACGGGATTAGAGTATATCGTAGGCCGAATTATTTCTCTTTGTTTCACGTGTCTCGCAAGGACCTTTTAGCTATCGTGTAAACGTGTTATTATCGTATTTTGTTCGCGTGTCCCGTATGGGACCTCGTCTCGCGCGGTATTGTGTTACTGTTTATTTATATTCGCCATAGGTTACTTGATTTTTTAATTGTTACTTGATAAGTCCCAATAAAAGGGCCCCCTTGTTACTTGTTACTGAATATCTCGCGGTTTCTCAATCTTCTTTCTTTACCATCTGTGCGTTCTCCGCCCCTCTACCATACCTTTCCGTTTCTTTCCTGCTAGCCGGAGTCCTCTTAATTTTCTCGGGAGTTTCGTGTGTTACGTGACGCAACGCTGCGTCTGGCGCCCATTTGGCTTTTCCTATCGTAGGGATTTCCTCCTTGCGTTTTCCCGGGAAAACTTCAGAATCTCGCCCCTTACATTTGTGGCGCAATCGGATCGTCTTGCTACGAGGCGGTTTGAGGGAGAAAAATCACGTGACAGTATATACAATCGTTAAGTGGACCGTTCACGCGTGCATTTAGATCCTAGTTTCTAGGAACTACAAGTGGGGGTAAGCTGGAGCGATTCATCCGACTCGACTCAGAGTTAGAATACGAAAAGCCAACATGGGGAGAGGTCAAAAAGTGACGTTGGTCGTGAGTGTAGTGTCTTCTAAGTTTCTTTTAATACAATAAAGCCCGTATTCAGAACTCGCTTTTAGTGCTAATAGCGCGCTTTTCAATTTTTTCTTAGTGACTTTTAGCTACGAACGACTCTGTTAGTGACTTTAAGAGCGAGTTGTGAATACGAACTTAAGTATTTCAAAGAAGTTTTACTATAAGGTGTTGTTTCATTATTACAGCTTAATAGATTAATTTTCATAAAACAAATGGTGGAGAAGAGGAGGCAGCGACGGGCTAGGAGGAGCAATTATAACGACAGGCTCCTCTTCGAGGAGGAAGATTGGGGTGCGGAGGATGTCTTTTGTTTGAGGCATCTCTTTGGGATGCCTCCAATGATATTATATAATTGGTGCATATTAATCAATTCTATTTATACATTGTGACGTACAATTCGCGATCAAGTCTCGTCGGAAGATGAGAGACTGACCGGCGCACAACTTACGCGATTCCTTCGCTTTCCAGGCAACCCAGGGCTAACACTTACTAATTCGAAATAATACCTACGGTATTGTTAGGCGCCAGGTTCCAAAACGAGAACCACGTATCAATTCTTACAATTCATTCGTTCGGCCTCTATTGGCTAACTCAGCACCGCGGAGGCGTCGGGGATCTTCGAGAGTAAGGACAATTTGAACAAAATGAATACTTCGGCTTTTTGGGTCAACAATAACAAAATCGATCTTTATTTTGTGCGATAGCTTCTCC